CACCATGTATTATTCAATCAAATTTGTGTAGTTTTAAAACAACAACTTGATTTTTTGAGAATTCATGTTTTAATTTCAATTGAAACTATCTTCTAAGATAATATCTAGACAACATAAACTTCGAGTATGCAGTAATGGAGGGTAATCTTCTAACTAAATAAGCTCATTTTCATTATGAATGGATGTTCCAGGTGGTGAGCAGAACTCTTTTTATGTTGAATCACGACTCCTAGGACTCCAGTTTTGCATCTTGCCAGTAATTCTGGCTATAGAGCTGTATGATGCAAGAAGCGTGCGGTTCAATCGTCAGCATTAATTTAAAAAAAAAAAACTCCAAATATTTTCACTTTTTCTGAATTTTCATACGATTTGGTTTCATCTGGGAGGATTTGGATAAAGACCCGAAATGAAAAGTTTAGTCCGATTACCGTAATCACCGCAGCATTATCGCGGCACTGACGAAATCGCAGATACTGCCGGTTTTCGACAATAACATCCAATGCGTGATTATGCGACTTTTCAACGAACATATTTTCCTGGAAAAAAAGCATACTGCAAGAATGACGAGTAGATATAAGAGCAAACCTTATCCTCCTCGGAATGTGAGGCATTTACAGTTTTCATGATATGTGCAGGTGACAAGACAACACCGTCGGAATGGAGGCAACATGCAAAGATATTGTCATCCGCGATGGAGAAGCAGCGAATATCGGGATCGCAGGAGACAGCAAACCGACCAGTCTCACTTGAGAACGACCAAAAGTCCCCTTCAATCATTTTTAATTACGATATGTGAATGAGTAGTACAATAGGCCTGCTGACCGAGAGACCTTCCGATGTTCAAACAAGGATAGTGCGATTTTTTGTGGGAGCAGCGGGATTGTCTCGCCCAACAATGACGATCGCACCAGGAGAAAACTACCCGGGCATTTCCGCGACTGTCTAAAGCCACCTGGACACAAAAATGCTTTAAGTGCCTTCACCCGATGCAGATAATGAGAATAATATTTGGGGTGGTAGTCAACCGAAGCTTGGAGTTAACGAATACATTAACTCGCATTAAAGTCTCAGGTACGTTT